GTTGTGGTGGAGATGTTAATAAAGTTGTACCTTTCCTCTTTGATACACATTTACCTTTTCTCCTTGTAACCATGCCTCCTTCATTTAAAACTTTCCCCAAAAAGTTAAAGTTTTAGGTTTTGAAATAAAATGGAGCAAAGTGAATTTTGATGTTTTGGATTTTGGATTCTCATTATTTTCTTGTGATTCAGGTGCTTTGAGTGTGGAAGACAAGATCTTCCTTAGCTTGAGCATGATCTATTTTCCTCTCCCTCTTCTTAATCATTATTTTTCTCTAAATTATATTTAAACTTAAACACTAGATTGAATTAAGGAGAAGGGAGAATTAACAATTAGCATTAAGCTGTCATCTTGCTAAGTTGCTATTGAGAAATTTAGAAGTTTGTGTTGTTCCTTGCCCAAATCAGTAGTGTAAAGTTAACTTGACATAAAAAGTTGTATTAAGGCATTAGTGGCCTATAACTATTGCTATGCCCATCATTAGTATATATAATTTAGTTATAATCCAGATTATAATACTAAAGAAAATAATGTTGCTGGAAGTACTTTTGGATTTAGATTTAGAACGATTGTAATGGATTATGTATTGAGTTTGCACCAATGAAAAAGCTATATTCTCTTCCTAATCCACATCTTAAATAAGTCACTTTGATAAGTAAATTACTCCTTCATATCTTGTAGATTGAACATTCTTGTGTTTGCTATGATTCCAAAGTCAAAGTGTTAATCATTGTTTGCTGCTTTATTATAGCTTGCTTGTGAAGATTCTATACAAGCTTTATTTGTGCTTCTTGACTTTTTTCCATCATCTTTACCATCCCTTCACCACCTTTCGGCACCCTCTGTCTCTTCAAATCAATTTCTAGAGTGTTGTCCCTTACTCTCTTCAAAGCTAATCTTAGCTCTTGACTTAGATTTAAGCTTGTAAACTATATAGTATAACTGATTATAAGGGTTCACTTGATTACAACAATTGAGTCTATAGTGTATTATGCTTATTGGAAGCAACAATTCTTTGTCTTGATATGTTAGAAACAAGGCCACATAAATGTGTAATACCACTTTCTAAAACATGTTAATCCATTTCATTGTAGAGCTTTTTTGGAAAATCAAGATGTAATTTCTGAGCAATGCGTTAGTCACTTGATATATTTCAATAGCTTGATTTCTTATTTGAAATATCAAGATCTCATTTCTGAATGTTGAAGTAAACATTCTTTATGTCCTCATATTTTTTCTTGCATTAAAAATAGTTATAACAATATTTATTCTCACAACAATACTATTGAATCCACTTTCACCTATTATCTTTCCTTTTAGATATGTCTATAAACCTATTTCTATACTTTGCATTATTTAAACACTTAGTGTAATTAGTTATCTCCTTTAATGTCCATGTCTTTCATTTTTTAGCTTTAATCTTTCGTTTGAAATCATTTGAATCACTTCCACTATTTTGGATTTAAAAGTTTGACAGTTAAAGTATCAAAACTATTTATAAATGTATTCTTTACTATTGAAATAGAGTTATGGATGAAGAAAGAACCAAAGTCAACTGGAATGTAAAAGGAAAATAAACTTTAAACAACTAAAAGTTTAAATTTGAAAAACTCACATTTAATAAATCTTGTGGACTTAGAGAAGTCCTGGTGGTGAAAACACTTTATTGAGCAAATAAATATTGCATAAATTACACTTCAAACACTTACCTCTAGAGTTTTCATAAGTTCTAAATCCATTTAAATTTCCTAAAAATATTTTTTTTAGCTTGAATGAAATGAAGATTTTAGCTCACCATAGTATCCCCAAGACTCTATTTTGCAAATAAATGAGAATTTAAAGTGGAAAATGATGCTAAAAATGTCAAATTTTCCTAGAAATCCACTATAAATATAAATGCAAAATTTTCAAACTTTTACTTGATTTGTAGCTTGTGGTTACACCTTTAATGTTACTGTAAGTACTTTTGATCTACTTGATTGTCCCTTTAAAGGTTAATGTAGTGAATCCATATCCTCTAAATTTTATTAGGCACGCTAATTGTATTATTGCTTCATTTCCTGCCAAACCTAAAAAAATTATTTTAGGTTGCTACATGTATGGCCAAGGCTCGTCTTGAAGGATTCCAGGCTTAAAATTGGTGCCCAAGGTGCTCCTTGGTCAACCCACATGAATTCTAAGCCTCAACTACATATATACAACATAAGAGAACTTGGGAATTTTCTCAAGTCCCCCCACTCTAAGCATATAAACTAGTTGATCAAGTTAATAATTAAGAAAACATTTATTACATATATGTCAAGATTCAAATGTTAGAACTAATTTGATACACCACACAAGTAATACAGTTAACTTAATGGTAGAGAAAAATATAATGGAGAAAATGCCCTTTTGTTTGTCTTAGAAAATTTTAATATTATGAACTTTCATAAAAGTTTTTTTCATATTGAAAGTTTTTAGACTGTGAATTACCTTATATTTGTTTTTTGGCTGAAATAAGGGCAATAATCAGTATAATGATATATACTTTTATACAACAGTGCAACATCAAGTACTTTTCAAGATGGTAAAGATAAAAATGAAAACACACAAATATTATGGTTAATATTGCAAAAAAATACTCTCAAGTGTATTTTTAACAATTTTTTTTATTATTTATATAACAGGAAAAAAAATATGCCCATGTAATGGATAATGTCTACTAAGACATTTAGTTCATATATCGACTGTCCACAAGATCAATCATGCCTAGTGAATGGAGGGATGCAAACAAGTGAATGATAAACCTGTAGCTTCTAGTGCTTGGCTACATCAAGAGATTTTTTTGTGCAATCACGTAGAGAGTATAATTGGTATATTGATTTCCTTGGAATCTGAAAAATTAATCAAAATTGCCATGAAATGCATGCGGAGTCGAAACCCTAAATTCACATTTAGGGTTTGTGAAGAATGGAATGGTGATCCGCCGGATCGTCTTGTCCGTGGCCAGAACGAAGAAGCGATCCTCGTCGACGGTAGGCCAGCTCGCGAAATGCGCGGAAAAATCATCGTCACTGGGAGCTGCAACAGCAGCAGCAGCGCCATCGCCGGCGCCAGATCCAGAGCTTTGCAGAGCCTTGCAAGCGCGGGGAATCCCCATCGCAACCGCGGGCAAGCTCTCAGCGCTTAGCGGCGAGCAGGCCGCACGGCGATTGGACGCGCTGGAAAGAATCGGCTACCAGGGCGATGATCTCAAGGGCATGCTCTTCTGGGGCCCAATCGCGAATGCCGGCAGTGCCGTGGACGTGGAGCAGCGCCTCCAGGAGCTCACGGCGGCGCTGGCAGCGCTGCGCGTGGACAGGGAGATCTGGGCGACGATTGTGAGCCAGCACAAGCGCTGGATCTTCGCAGTGGATGCCAGCGAGTTCCAGCAGAATCTCGCCAACCTCTGCTCGCTGGTGCTATCCTTCCAGCGATTCAAGGTGGATCTCAGCAAGTGGATCGTCCAGATGCGTCCCAGCGACAAGGAAACTCTCGAGGAGACGACGAACTTCTTGCTCGAGCAGGCCGGCAGCGAGAAGGCCTTCTGCAAGGTCGTCCAGTGCGTTCCCATGGTGCTCCAGTACGACGTGGAGAAACACCTCCAGCCCCGGATCACGACGATGGAGAGCTTGGGATTCTCCCGCGAGCAAATCACCAAGATCATCTACCAGTTCCCAAAGATCCTCACCGTCACCCCGGAGCGTCTCACCGCAGTGGTGGGCTATCTCACCGAGGAGCTGGGCTTCTCCAGCGATCAGGCGTGCCGGGTGATCACCATCTTCCCTCGCTTCTCCACCAGCAAGCTCAAGGTGATCTCCGGGAAAGTGGACTACTTCGTGAGCTTGGGCATGCAAAGGAGCAAGGTCCGGCTGATGCTGCGGAAGAATCCATCCATGGTCGGGCTCAACATCGAGCGAGGAGTGAAACCGAAGCTCGAGTTCCTGGCCAGCCTCGACTTCAAAGGCGACGATCTCGACTACCTCCTGTCCGCGCACTCGGGAGTGTTGACGAGAAACAGCCAGGCGATGGAAGGCCGGCTCAATCTCCTCCTCCGCCATGGATTGTCGCGCGACGAGTGCTCGCTGCTGCTGCGCAAGAAGCCCAGCATCTTCAACCTCGGGGACGAGCTCCTGAGCAAGAAGCTGGCGTACTACACCCGGGTGATGAAGCAGCCGCTCAGCAGCCTTTGCCACTTCTCGTCGTATCTCACGTTCAGCATGGAGGCAAAGGTGGTGCCGCGGACGACGTTCCAGCACTGGCTCTACATGAGCGGCCTGGCCAGGAAGGAGTTCTCGCAGCCTTACATGATCATGCTCTCGTCGGAAAGGTTCACGAGGAGATTTCTCGGCGGGGACGAAGCTCTCCAAGCCTACGGCAAGTTTGTGAGATCTCAGCTTGCTACTGTTCGACAAAGCACGAAAGCGGAAGCTCCCGAGCCTTCGTAGACCACTGTGAAGATCATCCATCGTGGAAGGTCGTAGACCACAGTGGAGAACTTCGTACACCACTTTCTTCTCGAGATTTTGATAAGCTGTGAAGAACACGAAGATACAATGTAAGTTTCTGCGAATAGTAGTAGCTCACAAAAATTCTTCATCCATTAATACCTTTCTTTCCTTTCAATCTGTTAGAAGAAGCTCTCGCTAGCTATGCTAGGCTATGGACTGCGCTATGCTATTCCGCGGCGTTGCTACGACCACCTCTGTTGCCACCACCACGCCTGTTTGATCTTTGAGAGTCGTAGCGGCGAAAGCCTGCCTCGTCAGTGCTCTCCACTCGTCGGTTGTATCCTCGACCACCACCATCGCGATCGCCATAGCCGCCGCCTCTTTCACGGTCGCCGTAGCCTCCCCTTGCTCCACCCTCTCGATCACCATAGCCTCGTCCTTCACCGCGGAAGTCCCGTCCACGTCCTCGACCAGAGCCTTTTGGCAAAGAAACGAAATGCTTGTTAGGAAGTGACAGAAGAAATGCTCATTAAGGACGTACCATGGGCCCTCTTGTACTCCACCTTTACAAACCGGCCACCAATCTCAATGCTATTGGATGCCTTCGAAAAGCAAGGGATAAGGATCAGAAGATGCAAAGCATAATTCTAAACGTTTCTTTACCTCCACAGCGCTGGACGCGGACAGTTGGTCTTCGAAATCCAGGAAAGCGAAGCAATATCCTTGTGCCTGCAGAGAGATGGTCACCATCGCTGCGAGCTGGATCGAAGAAAAGGAACGTTTACCTTCATAGACCGGACCTGAACGGAGCCAGGCTTGACTGGTCCAAACTTCTCAAACTTGGATTCAATCTCTTGCTCGGTAGCGTTCAAAGGCAAGTTGGAAATGTAGACACCTGAGACAAACAATGGTTATTACACAGTAGAGAGAAAAACGAAGAACATACCCTCCTTGTCCTTGTCGCTGGGAGGCTCTTCTACTGTGCTGGCAGCCGGAGGAGGAACCACAGTGGCAGGCTGCGGAGGGGCGCTCACTGGCGCTGGTCTCGGAGCCACAGGCCTTGGTTGAGCGGCCCTACTCTGAGCGAGAATGGAAGCATACGACATCTTCACCGTAGTCGTCTTCACCTGCTCTTGAAACTCCTCAGGTTGAGTTTGAGTCACAGTTGTCTCTTGGGTGATCGTCTCCACCTCCACCACCGCGGGCTCCTCCACAGCCTCTACTTCAGGCTCATCGGGTGCCTTGTCCTCGGGCTTCTCCAGCACCACATACTCTTCGGATTGGAAAGTTTCCTCTGGCACGAGTCCTTCGCCTTCCAGCTGCTCGTCTGATTCAGAGAGAGACACGCGAGTCAGTCACTGATCTCAAAGCGTAATGACACTGACCTGGCTCTGGGATCGAGGAGACTGTGGACTCGGCGACCCCATTGGCCATGCTGTATGGCAGTGTCTTCGCCGCTGGTGCTTCGTCAACGTAGCGCAGCACGTCGTTCAGGACAAAGTATCCCTTCTCTTGTGGAGCGAGGAAGAACGTCTGCACAAAGTTGCGTTTCCCGGTCGACTTACACGAGAGGGAGCCAGTCACCATGACAAGAACTCCACCTCCGAGAGAGTTCTGAGAGACCACAGACTTAATTTCGGCCTTAAAGTCGGTGAGATCCATCGACATGATCTTCGCGTGGATATCCTGGAGCAGAGTAGATCAACAAGTAGCACACAAGAAAAAGAAAAAACACGAGAATTTACCTGTTGAGTGGAGACCGTCTCCACAGGACCATCTGCGCCACCAGAGTCTCGCGTAAGCTGGCTTTGATCGGTGTAGAAGCGATGAACCACCGCTGGAGATTGATGTAGGACGTTGTAGTACTGATTGATGAATGCATTCCCGACCTTGGCACAAAGAGGGAAAGAAAAAAGAAAAATCAGTATCTTCCAAGTTTCGAGAAGCTATGGTGCTTACCAGATTAGCAGACGCTGGAGTAGCATTCGCTGTCGCCATTTCACCCCTAGAATCAAGAAAACCGCCAGATCTGAGAAAGCCGTGGAGAAAAGCAGCCAAAATTTGCGATCATCCACACATTGCGCTGTCGATTCTACTCACCTCAGCAGTGCCGTGATCGAGCGATCCGCGCGGAGGCGCCTTGAAAACCCTCGCCAAAACCCTCGCGGCGACGAAACAGCCCTCTCTACCCTAAGGCCCAACGGACGGCCTGGATGCGTCTAGACTCGTATGATCGATCCATGAACCATGTTTTTGAATCTAGGGCTATGGCGCTTCTCTTGGGGCGGCCGTGCTGCGCTCCGCCGCGATCGAGCTTCTGGCATGGATTATCGCATAAGGGGACGAATTCTCGAGATTTTTCGCGGATTTCTTGTGCTGCGGCTGCCGGCGGCAGCTCCTTGCTCGATTCTTCGCTGGAGCATTGCCTGTTCGTCAGGAGATCGGTGAATCGCGGCGAGATCGTCGAGCATTCGGGTGGTGTGGTGGTATGGATTTTCTTTCTCTTCTTGTTCTTGGCTAAGTTGGAATTTTCTCTTCTTGTTCTTGGCTGGACTTCAGGTGTTTGGAAACATCGAAAGAGGAGGCGCTGTTCGTGCGGACGGGGATGTGATCGTTCTGGGAAGCTTGGAAGGGATTTGCCAAGCTGGACGAAATGGCAAGGAGTCGATTGTTTTCTCTCTTGGCCGGGGATTTTCTTCTGCGATCGAGATCGCCAACAATCCAGACGTTTGTGTGCGTAAGCCCGGCGGTGGAGAGGCATTCATAGCGATGGCTTCGACAAGGTCTCAAAGTTTGTGCAGATTTTTTGCTTTTGAGAAAACCTTGTGCCTGTGCAGCGTAGAACGGGATCACGTTAAAAGTATCTTTGCTCGCTTGTCGAGGCCTGCCCGAGCTGCTTTTTTCACCGGGATCTACATCTCCATAGCTGGGATTTGTTTCTTCGTTTTCCCAGAGACGCTCTTTGGTGAGACAAGTATATCAATCTCGTGTCGTGATTTTGATCATGCTACATGCAGGTCTTCTTTTCAGGCTGGAACCTGTAGCACGGGGATGGATTCAAGCAACAGGAATTCTGGCAGTGGTAAGCAAACAAGGAATGGTATGTGCCGCTTACAATTTGTGACTTTCAAGGTTTTTGGTATCTATTACTTGGGAACTTCGCTTGGTGACAGCCTTGGCTTCCATGGATCCTCGGCCTTTTATGCTTCCACTGTCGCCGGACGCATCGTGAGTTTTTCTCGACCTCGAAAGATGAAAAGGAAGTTATTCTCAAAGTAACTGACTAACCAACTTGGTATGCCTCTCGCAGTTCCTCTTCCTCAGCTTTTCGTGGCTTGTCAGCCGCGGTGCCTGTCCACCGCCTCTTCTCATTGTAAGTCTTTTACCATTACGTACAATCACAAAAGGGTTTTTTATTTTTCTTTCGTCTTTAGGTTGGAGTTGTGAATCTCGCGGGTGCTTTGTACATGCTCGCAGCACTGAGGAACCCAAAGAAGGAGATCCGTACGTAGACGCTGGTCGGTTTGCGACAATAAAATCGTCGTACGCTACAGGTATGAGGTTTTCTCGCCTTTCGGGGCTCGGAATTTAGAATTCAGCTTTCCAGGGCATTGAGCTATGGATGTGAAGCGGCTGGATGACGACACGATGTTACAGATTCTTGGGTGCTTGGATACCGACGAGGATGTCGCCCGTGCCGGTGCAGTGTGCCGCTCGTGGCACAGACTCGGTAGGATCTTGTCCCTTGAGGCGCTCGAGTTTTGGCTAATTGTCGTGCCGCAGTTGTTGATGGCCGACTTTGGAGGCGGCTGTGCATGATCCGATTTCCAGAGCTGGAAGTGTTTCGGGAGGTGGCTGAGCAATCCAGCGGTGTCGACTGTACTACTGTAGAGCTTTCTAAATCGCGGTCTGAGGAGGACATTCTGAGACGCGAGCACAAGGTGTTCTGTGACTTCTACTACTCCCTGATGAGGACATCGTCGACGAGGAGCAGCTACATCTGGAATGCACTGCATGCTTCGAGCACCGACAATCCCAATGAGGAGGTAATTCAGACGCTCTATCCACACCCGAAGCGGCTCTCGTCAGGCTCGCCGTCGTACTGGTCTAGCACAGGCCAGAAATTGGAAACTGTTCCAGAGTTCTTGACTTACCGGATGGTCACACCTCTGTGTGTCGTGGAGGAGATAAAGTTGAGACCTTTTGAAGGTGTGCTTGTACTTCCTTTCTTTCTCTTTTCAAAGTTCTAACTTTGCAATATGCGCTGCAGCTTTCTTTCAATACGGCAGCCCAATCTACTCGCCGAAATTCGTTCGATTCTACTTTGGATACCAGGCTTGCCGTGCTCCTGGTGGACACTCTTGGAGCAATCCTCACCCCGATGGGAACTACGTTTGGAAGTATGTTTCGCCGATGTATCCCGTGGAACAGGTATGGACTAGTGTTGTGATATATAGAAGGTTTTAAGCTTCTCTCTTGTTTTTGCGTGAACAGGCTGATTCACTGCAGACATTTCGTCTTCCAAGGCCGGTCGTGTGCATCGGTGGAATCTTCCAGGTGGAGCTCATCGGGCGTGTCCAAAAACAATCCACGGATCAGCTCTATTACATCTGGTAAGCTCTAGCATTTCTTTTTTCTCGTCCTTTCTCCGTTTCTCGTTTCGTGTCACGCTGATGATCTGATCTTCTCCTCTTCGTGGCAGCATCTGTCACGTATCGGCGCAAGGCAGATCGCTCCAGCGGTACGACTTCGAGATCAAAGATCCCAAAAGCTTCGTGCTCAAGAGCCTCTCGAAACCGATAGAAGAAGAGAAAGAAGAGGAGGAGGTCGAGGAATTCTTTCGCGACGAAGAAGACGAGGAGTTCTTTCGCCGCCTTCGCCCGGAATTAATCGTGTGGGGAAGGCCGGTTTTCGAGGATGACGATCTGGAAGAATACTAAAGGTCTTTCTATTAGGAACTCTCCAAGTACTTTGCTAGGGTTTTTGGTTCTAGATAGGGCTGGGACAGCGCAAGGCGACAGCGCGCACGCACGGATTTTGTCTCGATCTGGAAGATTGCTGATCGCTGTCAGGTATGATCGCTAGCTAGCTAGCGCATTTGTTTAGTGGGAAGATCGCTTGCTTCGCGCTGATAAAATATTGCTCTAGAACTTGCCAGGAAATAGTGTTAGATCTCTTAGGTCTCGGCATTCCTTCTCTCAATTCTTTCTCTGCTCAACGCGCGTGATCACAATGGGTGAGATTTTGCGCTCTGCAGATATGGTTGCTGTGGCGTCGCATCAATTGGCGCAATGCATCAGCGGCCACGCCTGGAATGTGGATCTGACAAGTAAGAATTCTTCCTCCTCTTGCGCGTTTTAATTTTACATCAAACAATGTGTGTTCTTCGCAGTGATCGCGGTTTGCACGAATAACGAAGTCCACATTTACAATGCCTCGCCAGCTCCAAGCGCTGTGTGGCAGCGACTCCACGTCCTTCAAAAGGTAAGTAACGAGGTGGAAATCTCGCTCTTGCTATCTCATTCTCTTTTGTGGCTTTAGCACGATCAGCTCGTTTCAGGAGTTGATTGGGCACCTGTCTCGAACTACATTGTCACTGTTTCTCACGATAGGAATTCGTAAGTTGATGCGTACTTCGGGTTTTTCTTTGTCCCTTTTTCTGATGTTTTTCACCTCTTCTGCAGCTACGTCTGGAAGCTAGAAGAGAATGTATGGCAGCCCACGCTGGTTATATTGCGGATAAATCGTGCTGCTATATCTGTGAAGTGGAGCCCCAGAGGTAAGAGGCTTTGCTAGTTTTCGTTACTTAAACGGGGTTCGATGTTCCCAGAGAACAAATTTGCTGTTGCTAGTGGTGCGAAGAGCGTCTGCGTTTGCTACTACGAGGAAGATAATAACTGGTCTGCTGTCTTTGTCTGTTTTGAATTCTAGTTTTGTAACACAACTTTTCCCAGGTGGGTGAGCAAGATAATCAGGAAGAAGCACGGCTCCACAGTGACTGGTGTCGCATGGCATCCCAATAATGTTGTTTTCTTTTGTTTTCAGCTGTAAGAACCTTATGCCAAACGTTCGTTTAGATTGCAGGTGCTACTAGCTACGACATCTACTGACTGCAAGTGCAGGATTTTTTCTGCGTACATCAAGGGTGTTGATTCCAGGTCCGCTCTCCGTTTCGCTTTGTTTTCTTTTGTAATGACTCTATCAACTGTAGGAGCGCTGCAACTACAACGTTTGGAGAGATTCGGTTTGGGGAGGTAGGAGCTTTATTCAGGATAAAGGTGTTTAGAAGTTTATTCTTTGCGGTTTTATTGCAGCAATTGGTGCAGCTGGATTTGGCATTGGGGTGGGCTTTCGGAGTTAAATGGTCACCCAGTGGGAGGAGTTTGGCATATGTTGGTAAGGAGAAGCATGCTTCTAGCTTTGAATGCCTCTTCTAATTTTTATGTTCTAGGCCACGATTCAACTATTCATTTTATAGATGACGTTGGTCCTTCACCAATCGCTCAGACATTAGCACTCAGGGACCTACCTCTACGTGATGTATGCGGGTTTATGTCTGAAGCGTTTTTGTTTCTAACTCTCTCTTTCCATTTTTCTTTCAGGTTTTGTTTCTATCAGAGAAACGTCTAGTCGCTGGTGGTTTTGATTGCAACCCAATGCTTTTTGCGTCTGATGATACAGGAACATGGTTAGTATTGAGAGAATTTGATACAATTTTGAAGCTACATATTTTTTAGGAACTTTGTTCGTTTTCTGGATGAAGGGAAGACACCCGCATCAGACGTTAAAGCTTCGACACAAGTAAGACGGGTCAGTTTTGGTTTATTGTAAACCGACGGATTGATTTTGGCAGTTTTCTGAAGCGTTTGGGAAATTCTATGGGCAAGCTAAGCGTGGTGTTGCCGCTGAATCTCCCTCGAGTGCTCCAGGAACTTATCACAACAATTGCATTACGTGAGTATCACTCGGCTTTTGTAGTTACTGGTACCGAGTGTTGTTTCATGTGCAGACTTCTTAATCCACTAGCTCCACCTGGAGAGCAGGAGATACGAAAATTTAGCACTTCTGGTACGAAGCAACTGTAGATCAAGCTCAAAGCGTTGCTAATGTAACCCCTGGCATTTGTTTTATGCAGGCATGGATGGGAAGGTGGTGATTTGGGACATGAGTACCATTAGTGATGCGCTAGCCCGGCTTGGCATGTAACAGGTGTGTTTATTAGCATTTCACAACAACATATTTTTAATCAAAACCCCACTCTTTTTTTTATTTCAATAGGAACAGATCAAAACTAATATGGCACTGGATACTTGGGTTTCCCTGGAGGGGGTTTCTTTGGAAGAGATGGAGAGTCACTAGTAGATGGACCTTCATTGGGAGAACTGGGGAGTGGCATATCTGGATCAGGAATATTAGGGAATGGAGTGTCTGGAGGAGTTGGGTTCTTATTGCCAGTGTTACTGCCACTATTATCATTGCCATTGCTGCCACAGATGGAAGTTCCCACATCAGGATCATCCCCACAAAAGCTGCTCATGCATGCTAGTTTTCCAGAACATTCGTCGTTACTGGAACATGATGTGCCACATTTGCCAAGGCTAGCACCATTGCCACCACTACCACTTTTTGCTGGCCCTTCTTTGCGACTACCACCACATATGTGAGTGTTCATATTTGGGTCATCTGCACAAACATTATCCATGCATGCAATCTTACCATCGCAATCATCATCTTTGTTACATGAAGCTCCACATTTTTTAGCATCCACAACAGTGTAGAGACAGGTGAGAAGAAAAGATGCAACCAAGATTGTATATCTCATTGCAAATGTTATGTTTGAAGACTTGTTTAGAGCCCTCATACATAGCCTTTTATATAGAGTTAATTTATTTTATATTTGCAATCATGCCAAATTCTGCATTAGCTTCCATGTTTGAATACCTTTTAGATATGACTATTGACTTTGACCAGAATTAAAGAAGCCTAATTTGGACATTTATAATATACAATATTGGGCACTTCACACAGATAAATTACACTTCACAGCTAATTAATGGCTTTAGTTAATGCAAGAGTCTTTTAAATTAGTGCTAAATGGATCATTTAAAAAAATTCAGTTTCTATATTATTAGCTAAATGTATGAATTTATTATATTTAGTGCCTTTAATAAGTAGTGACTCTCACCACTCAATCATGTTATAACAATGTCAAGCAGAGAAACTTTGGCACCAGCACAACATTGTGAAGTAATTTTTATTAGTTTAATTCATTTTCATAGTCTTAGTTTTTTGTGGGAAACTCTTCCTTTAAATTAAACTATTATAACTTAAAAAGAGAAAAATTTAATTTACTAATAATGTTTTTCTCCCATATATTTATTTAAAGATACTTTAAATAGAATATATCTTTTAAACCTTTATATCTCGGTTTAATTGTAAAGATTGATTGTGATTATTGATGCTATAACTTTAGTTATGCCTAAATTTTATGGTTAGACTACTTATAGCTTCAAATGTCCCAAATTATGACTTCATTTTAAGTAGGTAACCAACTTGTGGGAAGAGGGTGGCAGCAAAGCCATGAGCAATGCATTTTCATTTTTATAGCATTACTTCACAAACAACATTCTTTTATGGCCCCCTTGCTTTGATAGTTATCATTTCCCAAACCAAGGCTCCATAAAGTTTATAAGCATATACCACCTTTGAGTTGAGACTTTGCAATTTTGACTTAAAGGCAAATTGGAAATATTTAAACTCATTCTAGGGAGCTATCTACAAATTTGAATTGTATGAGGCTAGTTTCCATTTTTTATTTGTAAATCTCATCAATAGATCTGTAGATTTTAATTTTCCCTATGCTCTTTTATATGGTCTATGCTCATCACGTTTTGCATTAAAAACCTTGAGAATTAGTAGTATAGAGTGTCAGTATTTTTATATAGTTCTCAAAACTTATCAACCTTGTCCTTATTGCAATGGTGGAGCCTATAAATATATAAACTAACTATCATAATAAGGCAAAAAAGTAATGGTTTACCTTCACTCATAGAATTATATAGCACTCATCTCCAATATTGAAGTCATAATATTGTGTCTAGTTTGAGGTAAAAGTAGCTTTATAACTCATGAGTAAAACAAGTCTTCAAACTTACCCTCATCCACTCTAAGCCAATTGAGAACCAATTTCCATTCTTGCTAATATAGCATAGAATTGGTATTAACAATACATTAGAGGAATTATTCCCCCACCAAGCCACTTGAACTCTTTATGGTCTCTTAGTATTTCCAACTGATCTTCGCTTTCTTGTGTTGACATGCAATATGTTTCAAGCACATTGTGCTTCAGCTAACATATACGTGCCATGAAGTCAAAATCATTCACTACTACAAGCTCCAAATTGACAGTGCATAATCTATAACTCACGTTTCTTGGAAATTACCCATGTTGTCAATAGCCTCAGGTTGTATGGCAAGCTCTAATGTGTTGTTGCAACCCATGGTAGTGTTTATCGACTCAAAACTACATGAATTAACAACATTACATATTAAGTGCTCCATAACTAAACTACTTATACTTAAGTTGTTATTGAGTGAAACATTTTTGGTAGTGGGAATGATGTTTAGTGGTTTTCATTGCCAAAAGGTGGTGTAAGATTTTCTAATACAAAATAGTCATCACTATTCAAGACCACCACAAGAGTAAAAAATGCTTTTAGTGAGGACTTGGGTGAGGAAGGAAAGAAAAACTTACTGATATTAGCTTCTGAAGGTGGGAATGTTTGAGATAGGAAAATTTTGTTTCATCATGCTCTTTGTGTATTTATGTTTTATATAATCTATTTTTTTTTCCTTTTGCTCATTATCTTTATCATTGGCAACAATAAACTTGAGCCTCTCCACTACTAGTGCTTTGATTATGTCCATTAGTGGTAATTGCTCTTTAGGAGTTAGTGGTGGGGGCTTAATATTTATCATGGGCTCTTAACCCCTAAAAAAACATGCATTGCAATGGGTGATAAATAATATAAATAATTTTGATTTTGATTCTTATCTTTTAGTTGTTTTTCCTTCTTCATTAGAGAACGTGTTTACTTTTAGTAAGCAATCTAATGTTATTAGTGGATTTGTGGTGGCTTGACTTGTTGCAAATCAATGATCAAGTTGCAAATGGAGACAAATATCATAGCTTGTATGAGGTAAACCCATATTTTATTGCATCTAAATGGCCTACTAAATTTTTTTAATTGCTAGACAAATGCTTTAATATTTGAGTTTCAAAATTTTCTTTATTGGCTACCTTTGTTTCCCATAGAGTTGCAAAGTCTAGGCCGTAGAAATAACAACATTTTCCTCTATAAGATTCATTTTCACAGGACGAGAAATTAGTGCACTTGACACCATTATAAACTCCCAAGAACTTGGATAGGTATTTAGACCTCCCATGCATATGTCTACATGGCAAGAACTAAAGAAGATAACACTTAATAAATATAAAAAAAATAATTATATGTATTGAGCAAACAATATCTTTTTGTACTAATAGTTGGGGTGGGATGGCCAAAGGTTCTTGCAAACCAAGATGCAATTAAGAATTAAAAATCCAAAAAAATTGGAAAACATTTACATTAGCAACTCTCTTTAAGGAAGAATATAGTTTGAATCCTCTTTGAGACACCATAAAGTTGGTTCTCCACTTAAGCCAGATTGGGAGCAAATAAAATCAGGCATCTGGAATACCAAGAGGATGGCATGGTAATTCCAAGCTCCTACCAACACAGATTGAGTCATCCAGACTACAAAGGAATTGCTACTACCTAGTGCAATATGGCCTTGTTAACCTAGTGGTGGTATTCATTGCATTTGTAACAGTCATGTTGGGGTTATCTATACTTGCCAGTGGTGGCATTTATTGCATATCTAGCAATTGTGTTGGGGTGCTACAAGTGCCACTAAAAAATTATTGAGTTCATTGGGTTAGTAGAGTGCTCAATCCTTGGAACTTACATCCAGATCCTGTGGAGAGCGACTTATGATTTGATTGAAAGAGAGACTTGGTGGAAGGTTATTACCTGTTTAAGTTGATGCATCAGCAAACTACACTCTATATGCTCATATATAAACAAGACCATTAGAACCAAGCCTGCATGTGTAATTTGTAAATTGGAGATGGAGGGAAGATTGAGAGGATTGCTAGAATCATCTAAAATATTGTTCTTGGCATTGTTTAGAGTCAAATTACCTCTACCTCCATTTATTCTCATTAGGTCTTTATTTATGTAGGCTTGTTATGGAGAGGAGAGGAAGTGCAAAAAGTTTATCATGTAGTGTTGTGATTGAAATGCAAGATTGAAGCTCCACTTTCTTTATAAAAATAAATATATGATAATTCAAACACTAGAGAAAGCTGAAATATTTTTGGTTGAGGCAGGAGGGAATTATTTCCTAATAATTTTTGCAATTGATCACAAATTCCAAGATGCATTAAATCACTACTAGAGAAAAATTGATTTGATTGGTAAACTCTAGAATAATGGCCATGCTAGGTTTCTTTCAAAATCATAATAAAGTTTCAATACAATGATCCACACAGGTGGGATATCCATCAAGCTCATGCAATTGCAATCCCTATAATTCAAAACCAAGAGAATCAATATTAAGGCCTGGTTGGGTACAATTTGGACATGTGTTTCAGCCAAGCAAACATGTGGAAACTAAAAAAAAAGAATCTTAATTAATAAAAAGGCTTAGTTGTTAGTTTGTTTGAAACAATGTTACTTGCACTTTCTAAAGTGCTTGCCTCTTGATTGATGTTGTAGAAGGAAGAGCAGTGTCAATATAGACCAAAAGAGTCATACCTTCAACATTTATAAATCTTAAAGAATGATTATATAATGTTTATGCATATCATGGCTTGAACAAGTTTAATAGATCATCAGACAACTTGAAGAACTCAATGATATGGATGCACCTCATGTAAATTCCACATGGCAACCCAGCAAGATATGTCTTTCGTAAGAGATGGTGCAAAAACACATTGTAGACTTTGCTTGTGCCACGTGTTAGAAATATTTAATATTCCAATATCCTCCATACATTTGAATATTATAGAATCACACCACACACTTATAGAATTTATGCCAAAAGTGCTCAATGTGCTAGGAAATAGGGAGGTTGGTGGTGATGAATATGCATAATAAAATATTAGGGGCAAAATTGGCTTCTTGTCGACATCCCATGAATAAAGTTCCTACCTTAAGGACCCTAACAAGATACTATAGCATTCTCTATTACATTATGTTTAGGAGCATTGTCACTTCTAATGTGTCTAGGCTGACCAAATTTATGTACAGCCCACATGTATATGTTGAAAATTGCATGTGTTTGTTTGGTGGTTGACAACTCACAAATGACTATATAATGAGTTGCCCCATATATCAAAGCATGAACGTAAAATTCATATGATATAAGTTGCAGTATGCTACCATAGGGAATGTTTAAGTCTTGGATAATTACAACAAAATTTACTCATAGTTCATATGGCATAGTATGTAAGGCTCTACATTAGTGTAAATCCATCTTTGAATTATAAGCATATGCTTCTACTATAGCCTTGTGAGATCATGCATTGCCAATGCTTCACAAACTTCCTATCAACAGAATTTTTATCCTATTGAAGCATGAGTTAATGGTACTCTAGTTTGTGCTAACACAATTCATAACTACATTATTCCAAACCTAACTCAATACCTCTTTTGTTGGTACTTTTCTGTATACACCCCACCACATTGAATAATAATGTTTGCTTTATAATTTGGAGGTAGATTGTTAGATATCCTGTAGTTTTCATCTCAAGAATTTTGAGGTGTAATTAGGTGGAGACTAGACTAGCAAATCCTCTTGTTTACAATAATTTGCTGCACATTTCATGTAGCAACACTTGGTTTTAGTGTCATTCATAATTTAATTGATCGATAATTATAAATATGTTTATAATTTATAAATCAAGATTAATATTATTGCATATCTACCATTAGAATAAATAAGAATATACTAGAAAGTGGAAAGCTTTTAAATTATAAACATGTTTGTAAATTATAAATACAAGAATACTAAATAAATAACAATCGTTAGATGGTAGAATATCCTAGAATATCCAAGTATCTTAGGTATATCCACTACCACCTCTACAAATTTTGCTTAAGCAAACCAAAAAGTCTTGAATGTTCAAATTTTTTTCTTATGGGTGTAACATTGTCTTCACTTCTTCCACACTAGAAACTTTTGGAAGCAAAACTGAAAGAGGACAAAATGTTATTTACCTCCTCACCTAGCATCTCACATACACATGTGGCATCTATGCATACATTATATAACTTAACTCATGGTTTCCATTATGGATACCCATCTAAGAGTCATCTATGTATATGAGAAGTTGACAATTGGAACCCTTCTAGCTATTGAAGTGAATGAGCTGTGGAACAGTGCAGTGATTCACCCTGCCCTTGAGCAGGCAATTTGATTGGATGTGATATGGTGTTTCAATTGATATATTTTCATGTGAAAAGTCACAAAATAATATTAACTTAATTTGTAGTCTATTTCTTTTAAAATTGTAATTTTTACTTTTTTATTTAAAAAATTTCAAGAGAAATTTATTACAAATTAAACTTAAGATTCTTTTTATTAAGAAAGAATTAATAAAACTCACTCAGCTGGAGGAGGTGATTTTTTCCTGGGAGGGGGAGGACTTTTTTTCTTCCCCGATGGAGGGGCATTTGGTTTTGGTGATGGAATAGGGGATCCTGGAGCATCAGGGAATGGTGAAGAATCACTTGGAGTGCCTGGTAAATCTTCACTTGGTGGTTCAGCTGTGCCACCACCACCACTGCCACCACCACCACCACCACAAATAGAAGTTCCCACATCTGGATCATCTCCACAAGTAGTACCCATACAAGCTAGTTTTCCCAAGCATTGATCGTTATTGGAACAACTATCATTACAATTTCCAAGCTTGCCATCACCACCATCATCATCTTTTGGTGGTCCATCCTTTCGAGTTCCACCACAAATATGAGTTCGTAGGTCTGGGTCATCAGCACATTTATGATGCATACATGCAATTTTACCATCACAATCTTCATTCTTTTTGCAAGACTGCCCACATGTTTTTGCTTCTATAGCAGAGAAATACATAAGAAAGACCATGCAAATAAATTTACTAAAACTCATAATTTTACTATTAGAAACTATTGAAAGAAAGAGGGGATGAGCAAACACTTCTAAAATCAGCCTTATATATAACATTTTATTCTGTTTTTTACAAATTCGACAACAATCCCAGCTGTAAAGTTTGGCAGTATCCAAAACTAAATTCTAGCTGGCTGTGAACTAGCTTTAGATACGTCCTATGATTAATTAATTTTTAATAAAGCAATGTACATAGTTAAATAGACACCGTTTCTGAATGGTAGTGTGCTATAAAGTGACCTCTCAAGTCATCTTCCTTGGCTCCAGAATGAGAGTGAACCATTTCACCATTTTTAAAGAATCTAAATGTTGGCACAGCACGAATCTTCCATTTCCTCATCAAAGCCTGTTTAGTATACGCATCGTTCTAGCAATTAGAAAACGTAAGTAGAAAGTCTTACTCGTGTTTCACTGTCATAGTCCCCATTTATCTTCAAGAACACAGCATCAGGATAATCCTCACTCATCTTGACAAGCTTGGGAAATATGAACTTGCAAGGTCCACAAGTCTTGGTTGAGATATCAAGAACAACCTAGGAGCAATCATGATCGAAAGCTTGTGATAAATAAGAGAGAGAGAGGGAGAGAGAGAGAGAGAGTAGTAGTAGGAGTAAGAACATGAACTTACAAGCTTATCTCGCACATTCCTGATGAACTCCTCGAGCTCGGAGGCTACAATCACCAAAGGTAAAAACAATATCAACTAGAGAAAACTCACCTTGTTCATCAAAGAGCACAACATTTCCCTGTTTCGTGAATGATTCATCAATGGGGCTTCTGGTGCCGCAAAAACACCTGCCGCTGCTCTCCACAATTCCTTGGGAAGCTCTCTGGCCCCAAATGATGAGCTGCGGCTGAAGAACCCGAGCCGAATCCCCCAAGATGCCCGCTCGATCACGGTGCCGGAGTGGAGACGAGGGCGACGATGCAAGACGTGGAAGTGCCGCCAAACAGGGCACCAATGCTGCCGTTGCTGCCATGGCCACAAGAAACCCCCATGGCTCCACGTGTCCGCGTGAATATGCCTCTCCAGATTCTTCGTTATTCCGGAAGTTCAATGGGCTTAACTTCGTTTGAGCTAAGCTTAGAGCAAGAAAAGAAGGCGCTCCACAAGATCAAATTCCAAGATAGCATGAGTTAAGGCTTTGAGTCACAAAAGATCTTTCAAGAGCCAGCCCAATCCACACATCATGGCCGTAACTTGTGAAGTTAATCTAAAAATGTATTTATTAATGGGCATATTTAGTAAACAAGTGATCCTTTTGTTTAGTTCCATGGCCTGCTCTCCTTTGCAGCCAAAGCATTGGCATCCTTATTGGCCTTGATTACCACTACCAGGACAATAAGAAGTTCCAAATTGTGGAATATATCCCAAATCTCCCAAAGCATCAATATCAGTTACACATTTAGCATTACACTTCCCAACCGTGCAAAAATGAGTGCCTAGATCTGGATCGTCATCGCATATACGATCTACACATGCAAGTTTACCATTACAATCGTTATACGCATCGCAGAAATACCCGCATTTTCCTGCTTTAGTAACATAGAAAGGCATAAAACAAACCATTAAAATAAATTTGGTGAAGCTCATCACTTAGACGCATCCAATGATTCCGTGTGGAGGCTTTATAGATACAAACAAGCGGGGATAGGAATTGAAGGCCTGTTTGCTTGCACGATTGGCTCATTATAGCAAACACTGACATTCCTGGCATCTCCACGTAACCATACAAAATTCACGAGTCCTCCAATTTCACATAGATAGTATTTTCACACGTTCAAACCTTCATCCATGGGGAAGAGAAAGACTTATTTTTCCTGAAAGTACCTTACTCTCTTATCTTGAAAGCTTCCATAATCAGTCACAACTTAGTTTCCAAAATCTAGCACTAACATCATTGATCTTGTGGTCTACGAGCTTGTCAACATGTTCCTTGTGTTGTTTTCGAAGGCAACTGGCCATGACTGAGAGTGAGGGTCTTCGTGGATCACAGGATCTTCGTCAAAGCAAAAACTACGATAATCAGCACCGCACCTAATCGACTCCAACATATGGCTGCTTTTCAGGACACTCTTGCTGTGCTCCAAGCGAAGTGTACGTAAGAATTTTCACTCCTTTTAAAGTTCTTTCGCTCCAACTGACTATCTCCTGCGTTTTCTCTCTCAAACTCGTCTTCTTTGCTCGTCATGATCCTCGCAATCCAGCTGCTGGTTCTGCTCCTCTCGCATGCTGTGCAAGCAACGCAGCAGCAGCAGCAGCATGTCTTCTCCTCCAATTCACGACCTCCGGAAGTCTGCCTCAACTTAACGCCATCTCCAACTCTGGAAAAGTTCGTCGATCGCCTGCCGAGACTGCCCACCATATCCTTGGTCCGGTATCCCCGCCTCACTATGGGAGCTTACAAGATCTACCAGGTAGTCTGTGTCTTCCTGTAACTTCTTCAAACCGTGATGAGTTTTCTTCCAGAAACTCCACAGGGACTTACCTGCGACTCCCTTGTACGCGTTTGGAACGAGCCAGAGCACGGCATCCTATCCCGGTCCAACGCTCGTAGCTCGCCAAGGCGTCACCGCGACTGTCCGCTGGGAGAACCACATCCGCGACTACGAACACATGCTTCCAGTGGACAGAACGCTGCACTGGGCCAATCCCCGCCACGGCTTCGTCCCGGTCGTCGTCCACAACCACGGCCAAGAGACCGAAGGATGGTCGGACGGTCACCCCGAGGCCTGGTTCACCGTCGCCGGCGAGCACGGTGACACCTACGTGACGCAGGACTACGTCTACCCGAACGACCAGCGTCCAACCATGCTGTGGTACCACGATCACACCTTGGGCATCACCAGGCTCAACGTCGCCGCTGGTCTGGCCGGAGCTTACGTGATCGAGCCTTCATCAGAGATGGCGGAGCCGTCGTGGGTGCCGAGAGACTACCGCGTCCTAGTCGTCCAGGACAAGGCCTTCTACGACGATGGCTCCATCAAGTATCCCACCGTGGGCTTGGACCCGGACGTCCATCCGCAGTGGTGCGTCGAGTACCTCGGAGACGTTGTCCTCGTCAATGGTGTCGTCTGGCCGTTCATGGAGGTTGAGCCAGCCATCTATCGCTTCCGGCTCGTGAACGCTGCGAACGCGCGGACCTTTGTCTTGGAGACACGGGGCCAGCGCATGAGCTTCATCAAGATTGGAACCGATGGTGCAATGCTGCACCAGCCGGTCCAGCAGCAGCAAATGCGAGTCGGCCCCGCGGAGCGAGTGGACTGGCTCTTCGACTTTAGCAGCTTCGAGCCGGGCGACGAGATCGAGCTCTGGAACGTCGGTCAGGCACCGTTTCCAATCGGACCCCCGGCCAACCAGTCCGTCATGCTCTTCCGCGTCGTCTCACGAGCCCCGGACCGGGGGTCCTCCGGCTCTCATCTCATCCCAACGCCGCTGGATCCATCGCGCTTCCGCTACATGGCTCCGGTGGATCTCATCGGAGCCACCACCGGCGTCAACCTCTCCTTCGTGCCGTGGGCCGCCATCTACAGCCGGGGCCTGGAGCAGCGCATGACCGATCTGGCCTTGTCCCAGGACGACCACCTCCTCTTCGACGATCAGGTCCGCGAGATCATCCGGCTCTACTCCACCGAGGTCTGGTCCTTCATCAACTTCGTCCCGGTGGCTCACTTCATGCATCTCCACCTCGTCAACTTCTTCGTCCTGGAGCAGCAGCCGTTTGATCCCGACCGTGTGGCGAACGGGTCCTGTACCTTCGGCTCGCCGTTCGGACGTCCGGAGAGCTGCTACACGGCCTACCCAACGGGGCCGGACGCGGACCAAGTGGGATTCAAGGACACCACCGTGTCGCTGCCGTTTTACGTCACCCGGATCTTTGTCAAGTTTGCTCCCAACCTTTTGCCGCAGTACCGGATCGATCCCACTGCTTATCCCGGCTACACTCACCACTGCCACCTTCTGGAGCACGAAGACAACGAGATGATGCGACCGATGCTCATGTCCCGCACCACTACACTCTATTCGAACGAGTCGTTCCCTCTGGACCAGGACGTCTTCTTCCTCACCATCACCAACTGGACCGTCTTCTACTAAAGTTGTCGCGGAGGAACGCCCCGCTTTCTAGAATAACTATTAGAATAACAAAGGTAAACAAGTACCTGATCACGGTGCTTTCTTGATTCAAGAAGCTCGACCTCTAGACTTGCCTACCGCTGAGAATGTTGGAAAGCAATACGTAAGAAGCTCCATGCTGACCTTGCTCAATCGTAGTCACTTGTCCGGCGGCATGGGTACCTCTGTCCGTATCCCCATACATTCCACACGCACCAAGCAGCGTGCTCCATGCCAAAGAGTTTGGCTGGTACGGCATCCTGTTGATAAGCTCGTGAGCATTTTCTAGCCAGCCCGCTCGGCCCAGAAGGTCAATGACGCAGACGTAGTGCTGGATTGCGGGATGCAAGTTGTGATCTCTGGTGATTGAGTTGAACAAGTCGCAAGCTTGCTCGACGCTCCCGGCATGGCTGCAGGCATGAAGAACAAAGATAAATGTGTCGTTGTCTGGCTTGAGGCCTTGGTGAATCATGCACCGAAAAGACTCCAGTACCTGATAGGCGTGTCCTTGTTCTGCGTAAGCCCTGAGCAGGGAGTTCCAGCAAAGTTCGCTCCATTGAAGTTCTTCGAACACATCTCTTGTGCGATGCAGGTTGCCAGTCCTTGCATACGTGTTCATCAGCGCTGCCGCAATGAGAGGATCTAACGTCAGTTCAGCTGAGGTTGAAATAAGCTCGTGAAGCCTCTTGCCTTGTATGAAGCTACAATTGCATCCAAGCAAGCTGATGAAAGTTACACTGTTGGGCTTGATGCCTTCCAACTGCATCCTTTGAAAGAGAAGCCAGGCCTCTTCAACTCCAGTCTCGTTGTTCATGCACGCCGTTACCATTGCAGTCCAGGACACCACATTCTTATTCTTCAGGGCGTTGAATACGTCTGTAGCAGCAGTTACATTTCCAAATCTGCCATAGAGTTCGATCAGAGACAACACTGCAACATCATCGAGCTCATAACCAACGTTCATAAATCGCTGTAAGAACATCTCACCTTGTTGCAGAGTTGTGGATGCAGCAAACATGGCAGTGAATGTGTTCTTGTCTGGTTTGACACCTTCAAGATCCATTTTGACGAACCAGGAAGCTGCCTCCAAATCACTGTGGCACGCAATCACAGCATTCCATGAAACGGTGTCTCTTAAATCCAATGATTCAAATACTCGCCTTGAGTCCTCCAAGCTATCACAATTTGCGTACATACTCACGATGGCGGTTCCTAAAACGGTGTCTAGGCCGACCTTGGAAGCTGAAATACGTTCGTGCACAGCTTTAGCATTCCCAAGAACAGCCAAAGAAGAGCACGCATCAACAATACCCAGGAAAGTTACGACGTTGGGCTTGATGCCTTCCAAGTCCATTTCATAAAGCAAGTGAAGGGCCTGAAGGTCAAAACCATGTTGAACGTAGCCTGCTATCATCGTGTTCCAGGACGCAGCGTTCCAACGGTTTAACCTGTAAAAAAGAGACTCAGCATCAGCCAGCTTTCCACAATCACAAAAGGAGGTCATCAAAGCAGTACCTAGGAATAAATCATGAGAAAGCTCACCCACTTGTGCTACCCGCTCGTAAATATGCTCCACGATTCGAAGCGCTTGCGTAGAACAGCAAGCTCCAAGGACACTGATCAGAGTTACTCCAGACGGTTTCAAGCCTTCAAGTTGAAGCATCCCAAAAATCTCCAGAACTTTCGTGAGATCAGCTCGTTGAGCATGCGCTGCTAGAATGGAGTTCCACGAAACCAAACTCATCTTCACATCAACTCTTTGGAAAAGTTCCCAGGCAGAGCCAAGACGTCCACATTTGCTGTACATGTTGACGAGTGCAGCAGCCAAGAAGCTATCCGCAACCAATCCACTGCAAGTTATCTGTTCGTGGACCACAGTGCCCTGTTCTGAAAGCTCTGGCCTCGAGCAAGCTCCCACTACGCAGGTAAAGCTCACTACATTGGCTGCCACACCTTCCAGTAGCATCTTTTGAAAGAACTCCAGAGTTTGCCGGCCAGTTTTCTCGTGTTTAGCGTAAGCTGCTAGCATCGAGTTCCAGCAAACCAAATCTTTCTCATGGAAACTCTCGAACACCCTTCTCGCATTTTCCAAGCTGCCACAGCTGGCATACAGATTGAGCAAAGAAGTGAGCACGGCTGGATCGAGAGAAGAAGGAAAACAAGAACCGCTTACCAAAAGGTTCTCCACTTCTCGGCCTTCTTCCAGATATCTCAGCTCGGAACAAGCCTTCAGAACGCCCAGATACGCCACTCTATCCGGACGGATGCCTTCTAGCAGCATTCTTCTAAACAGCTCCAGCGTGAGCTCGCTCAATCCATTCTCTGTGCACGCGTCCATGAGGATCGTCCACGAGAAGACGTTCCTGTCCTTTATTCTCTGGAACACCGCCATGGCCTCTTCCACATACCCGCATTTTCCATACATCTGGACGAGGAGATTACCTAGATATGTGTCTTGATCGATGCCGAGGCGCTGGAGCTCTCTGTGAGCCGCTCTTCCAGCGGCGCAATCTTCCGATGCTCCGCAGCGCTTGATTAGCTGCGCGTAGAAGCTCCAGGAATTGCCGCCCAGCGGCAAAGCTTGCATGGCTCTCTTAAGAACCCTAAAATAAAGAAAATAAGGGTTTTGGAGCTCGGAGCTATGTCGACGAGCGTCCCAGTGGCGCTCGCGAGCGCCATGAGGACAATGCCAGCGCCTGCGATGCCTGGAGTGATCGATGCCTTGCTGCTGGTGACTGGAGCGTCGTCATCGGTGGTGTTTCGCGATCTCCTGAGGATTCTCGAGCTCCAGGTAATTCAGGTTGATTTTTGGGCTAAATCTCTTTGTTTCTTGGGCAGGAAATTATAGAGCTCTTCGAAGCTTTCAAGGCAGCGGCGCTACATCTCTTGTTGTTGTCAGGTACGATTGATCGTATTCTGGAAATATTTCTTTGTTCATGTGTTTCTTACTATCCAGAAGATGCTTCAGACGTTCTCGATGAATTGGTTCGTGCCGTGTGTCTTCCATTGCTTTCCACAGATTCTACAAAGGTTCTCATTGTTTAGTGTTTTCACTGGTTGTTCACTCCCTCGTTTTTTTTTTCTTCAGGGATCTCGACTTTTCGCTGAAGCGATTGCTATAAAGTGTAACTGGGACTATGCCTTAGCTACATTGGTTCCAAGTTGCTCACGAGCTATGTCCGCTGCTCTAGATGGAAAAGAAGCCGTGGTGAATGGTGCCCAGGTTGTTCTATCTTTGCCAGCCACTTGCCAGGTCGTGAGTCAGCTGCTCCTCGTTGCGAGCGACGTGATGGTCAACGATTTTTGTGCGAGCATGATGGATCAGTTTTGGTCTCCATGTCTCCGGTTATTGTCGGAGTCTATGGACGACTCACTCCGAAGCTTGGTCTTGCAAACATTACTGCCTTCTCTTTTGAGAGCCTGCAAACTCTGTCAGCTGAAAAGGTATCTGTTTTGTTTTCTCCTTCATCACTTACAAGGTTATTCTTCTGCAGTGGCCTGGACAATGTTTGGCAATGCTGTCAGGTTTTGCTCTCTTCGAACAAGTCCCAGCGCCGGGACGCATACAGAATTCTTAGCATGATTGATGACTTCGGAGACTTGGGAATAAGGGAACCACAAATTTGGGACGAACTTCGCGCTGGACTTGTACGTAATAACGAGCTTTCGTATTATGATTCAACCCTTTGGCATTCTTCAGGTAGATGGCGATTCTCTGACAAGGAAAAGAGCACTACACGTGCTGAAGCATTTCTTGAAGTCCGTTGAGGTTCTGATGGGCAACAATAGCACTGCAGAGTCTGTGGAAGCATCCCGAAAAAATGGCTCAAAACGTGAACAATGGGCCAATGAAGAAGCGAAATCTTTAGGAGTGGAGTCCTGGAGCTCAGAAGTGTTGCTCATGAGTGAATGTCAACAATGGACATCCTTCCTTCTCCTGTATGACACACTTGAAGAGTATGGTATTCATCTTGTCGAGGCTGCATGGGAAAAGCAGGTAATTTTATCATGCTTTGATCCAGTTCTCTGTGGTAATTTTGAGTGTTCTAGATAATTGCGCTCGTACAAAGTGTTTCTATCGAGGAGAAAACTCTTGTTAAACGTTTGGATTCACCATGGATTTTACTGCTTTTCGAGCGTGGATTTAAGCATGGAAACCCGCAAGGTGAAATCTTACATACATGTTTCTTGGGGATAATCTTTTGGCTTTTGTAGTGAGACGGCATGTTTTTCAATCCTTTTTCAAAATAGAATGGGGCACGAAAATCAGCATTTCTCGTGAGTTTGTTCTTGGGCCTTTACTGTGTGCACTAAACGATCCGGTGCACCACAAAGATTTTGGTAAACATAATTCTTTAAATTTTTTCTTGATTTTACTATTATATATTGCAGGTGTAAATGGTATTTATATATCAAACACTGGAAAGCTAGCGAACCAATTTTTTAGATTCTTTACCTCTTCGATGAATTTTAAGTATGTCATTTTCTTACAACTAGATGAATTTTACAATTCTAATTTTCTTTTCAGCACTCGAGTCAACTTTGTTATCAATTTTTGTGACACAATGATTAAGGAGCCTTTGTGTCGAGCCGGATTAATGACCCTCACTTCATGTGTAGAAGTTGTGGCTGCCACGGGTTTTGACAATGCTTTGCTACATGACTCCTGCGAGAGTACACGGTTGCTGGATTCTTTAAGATTCATAGTCGAAAGCTCCAAGCATCATTTCAATCCACGATACCGTTGCCAAGGTACACTTTGTGTTTATAGTTTGTGTTGGACTTACGTTGGTGCAGTATGTAGTTATGCTCTCAAAGCGCTAAGCAGTCTATTCTCCATTACGGAGCTGGATTTTGGCTTGCTATCAATTTTTCTGGGGTCATTCCCTCGTGAATTTCTCGCCTCGGCAGGTGGTATACCAATTTTGATTCTTTATAGCTCATCATAATTAAATATTCATAATTCTATAGGACCACTTCGTTCCAGTTTTGATCACTGGCTAAAGCACTCCGGAGAGAAGGGACCAGAGCATATATTTAATGGGCTCCAATCTCAACTCGTGGCATTTCTAAAATGTCCTGATAGTAAAGAGCAGTCATATACTATCACCGAAGGTGATATCGACTCTTGGCGGGAGATTGCTGACAGATGGGCCAGAGTTCTGTTTATTGGAGTTCATACTGAGCAACATCAAGCTGAACTGCTGCTGGTTTGTCACATTTTACTCCATACCTTCGCTAATTTTCTTTCTCTTTTAAATTTTGTTTGCATGACAGCTACTGGAACAGTATGCCGCGGATATCTATGGTCGGGTGTACATGCCTGTAACAGTACCAGAAAAGGTTCTCCTAGTTCTTCAAAGCCTTATCAGAGAATGGGCAATTTCTGCTACTGGTTCATTCTTACAAGCTCGCCTGACGAACCTTTTTCGGAACATAATGGTAACATGTTTTCTCTATAACAATGATTAACATAATGCTTGCAGGATGAATTGGTACCCTACGCAGAGAAGTCCGCAGTCGCATTGTGGGAGTTTGAATTGGACAGTTCAATACAATTAGCAGCAGCTAGTGGAAGATTAGGCGGTCCAAGTCTGCGACGGTTGCCACCTCGGGCTGCTTTGGTTGTGGTTAAAGCGGTAAGTCCGCGCTGTGGTTCGTCCTCGTGTTTCATTGGTAACATTTCACAAGCAGGTGTTGGCTGTGGAGACGCTTGCTGAATGCTCGGTTTGGATTTCTGTGAACGATCCCAGGGGCCTCCAGGACTCCACTGGAAAGTTTTTGTGGAAAATTTCGTGGAAACTCTTAGAAGCTTACAACGTGCAGGAGGACGTATGTTTCCTGTTTCGCTAATGCTTAAGGAACTGACTCTACTGGTTGATATTGGCAGTTGCGAGGAGAATTTCAGCTAGCCGGGCTGGAGGCTGTAGCATCTCTTTGTAAAGCCTTGCCTGTTGCAAACAACAAGAGAATGATTCATAATGCGACTGAAGAAGGCCTTGCAGAAAGTTGTTCGGATCCTGCACTGTTTGTGGACAATCTAGTGGCAAAGCTGCTTAAAGCCTTCGAAGATACAAAAGTGAGGCTGACCAGAAGTCGATGCGCTGTTTTAAGCCGCCACAAGGTAACTGGCTAATTCATACTATCTAATTTAGCGTCCCGTTTTTTCTGCAGTGGTCTTGCCTAGATGGATTTCTTTCTCTTAAGAACTTAGGAGACGACATCAAAATCATGAGTGCTATTTCTGAACTTACGCTTCTTAGGATAATGCAGGATGCTCTGGAAAGGTAATTGTTCTGGTTTCATCTTGGTATTGTAAGTGTTCTAGTTATCTTTTAGCATTGCAAGCGCTGGTGAAGACTACGTGATACCAATCTTTAGGTGTGTCCGATGGCTCTTTCACTGGGGTTTACTGGATCTGCAAGAAGATCCGCACCAGGTACATTGATCCTTCGACTATTTGCACTTACAAAATTCTCTCTATATTCAGGTGGTGTGGGAGCTTGTTCGCTCTGGGTGGACCTGTATTGCAGATTGTAATAAGCGGAAAGTAGCTCTTTTTGCAGCATTTTTGTCATCTTTCTTCCATCCAAGGCTTTTCCCAATTGCTGATATGCACAACACAAATGACAATGAAGAGGGACCTCTAAAATGGGTAACAATATATCTCCTTCAGATGCTGATTGACGATTTCTGTAGCTTCTAGGGAGGCTGATCGAACTCGGATCTCGTAGTCCTCGCACGATGCGTCTTACTGCCTTACATGTGAGTGGGCTTTGGTTGAAATTTCCAGAAACTACAACCTTCTACATGAAAGAGATACAATTCATGTGTTTGTACGGTGGAGGTAAGAGTCATTTTACGTGTTGGCATGCCTGCATTACAGTCCATTTGGGAATTCAGAAGCCATAGATGAAGAGTTCGATGGTGAAATTTTCGACAAAGAGCCGTCATCGCGAGAATTTTCTGCGTTGATAAAAAGCTCCGATCCGGAATTACAAGAGGTGACAACCACTATCTTTATGATGGTTTTTGAAATATTCGCTATGTTTTGTAGGCCTTTTCGAACTCTGAAATGTTTGTCCGAGTTGCTATAGCTATAATGATGGATAAGTTTGCGCAGCTGGTTGAGAAGGGAGCAACACATAGTTATGAACTTAGGATCTCCATTCCAGCAGTACTAAATTGTGGCCGAAGCTTGTTGTTTCAACTTTTAAATGCTGCTGTATGCCATTTATTTCGCTGTCTGGATGGGCATAACACTTTCTTTTAGGTACATGATTTGGACTTGGCAAAGGAGCTCTACAAAAAAAACAGTGCAGTAAGCTATTTGATGTCAATCTGGCAAACTATAATTTCGTGTTTCTTTTTAGCTCCACAGGCGAAAAGTGAGGCTGTGGCAGATGCTGTGCATATTAACACGCTTTGTCGATGAATCCATGCTGGAGGACGTGATTTTACGTCTGGAACAATGCGTGTATGTAAGTAATGTGGTTGTGAGTAGAGCTTTAGTGACATTTCGTCCTTTTCTCTTCCCAGAGGAATAATATGCCCTCGGTGCGGCAGTACATAGAAATATTTGCTGTTCAACTTTATCTGCGTTTTCCGGCACTTGTAAGCGACGCATAACTTCACTTTAGTTGCTAAATTTCTGTTTACTGTTGTTGAAGGTGAAGGAGCATTTAGCTCGTCGTCTTTCTGATGTGAACATGAAAACCCAGGTATTTGGGTCTATCATTGTGGACTCTAAAACACGGCATTTGTTCTGTAGGCACTATCTTCATATGTGTACATAGCAGCGAATGTTTTAAGGTTCATATCTCCAGAGCACAAGGAGGCCGTTTTGCAGCATTTGCTACCCGTTGTTCTACCTCACATGACAAGCCATCATCATAACCTGCGTACTTTCACACAGGTATGCACACGTTGTACAGCCTTCAAAATGTTTTCTGTGTGCTTTCAGGTTCTCTTTTTCCATGTTTTCTCTATTTATCGGAACAATCCAGTGTTGAGCGAAAATTTGGGATTGTCGTGTTTGACTAAAATCTCTTCCTATTTGGAGATGAATACGGACTGCACAAGGCTTGTTTTCCTAGTCCTTAAAGCATATATGACTGCTAATGGTACAATTTTCAGGCTGCGGGAGTCTGTGGACCAATTTCTTTTTAAGCTTGAGCCTTCTGCAGCTTCCAAACCCAGGGGCCTTTTCTGTAACACGGCAGATGACGGCACGAAAGTACGAATCCTGTTTTATTTATTTATTCAAGTGTCTAATTATTGTTGCAGATATTGGAAGACCGACCTTTTGAATGCGTCCCCGTAGCCGTGCTAGATAAGGTTGCGGAGCTCCTCAAAGTAGGTATTAGTAGTTTGTTTGAACATCGTTTTGACGTTGTCTTTACAGGAGACAAGGGAGGAGTTACGAGGGTCTATGGCCGCTAATGCAGTTTATCTGAACTTTGGAGATGAGAAAATTGACGACAAGATTGAAACTAATCGCGGAGATTACCAAAAGAAAGTCATTCCTTACAAGGATAAGACAGAGGATGCAGAAGCTCGTTTGACAGGTACTTTTCCTCTGAGTTTCAATTAACTAAGCATGTATCTTTAGATGTGGAGTATGAAGACAGTTTGCTCTTCTCTCTGATTGACAAGAAGGGCAGGGAACTTGCAAAAGCTTATGAAGGGCGTCAAGATCTGATAGTTGTAGCGTCTTTAGTCGAACGAATTCCCAACTTGGCAGGCTTAGCTCGAACCTGTGAGGTAAGTGTAAAACTGTACCTTGTAGTCTTGCTGCTTAGCTGTTCCACAGGTGTTTAAAGCCTCTGCACTTACCGTAGCTGACAAGAAAATACTCGAAGACAGACAGTTTAAGTTGATCAGGTATGTCTCGGTCGTGAATATTTTCTTTTTAAGCACCTGTATTCTTGAAACTTGTCAGTGTAACGGCCGAACAGTGGGTTCCAATCCTAGAAGTAAAGGAAGGGGCTCTAATACGATATTTAGAAAGAATGAAAGATGAAGGTTACGCTGTACTGGGACTGGAGCAAACGGCTAATAGTGTTGCTGTGAACAACTATTCCTTCCCTTCGAGAGTCGTAAGTGATTTTTCCTGTCGGTGCTGTTGTATACTGAACGTGGCTATAGGTCCTAGTTCTGGGGCGAGAAAAGGATGGGATTCCCGTGAATTTAATCCAAACACTAGATGCTTGTCTCGAAATCCCGCAGCTAGGAATGATTCGCTCGTTGAACGTACATGTAAGTGGAGCTATTGCCGTTTGGGAATATACAAAGCAGCATCTCCAAGGCGGTCCGGGCCTATGATATGTGAGTAATCGCTCGTTTATTTTCTCGAAGCACCAGCGGCTTTCAAATCGATCCTTGCTGACAGTTTTCTCAGCAGGTCCACCACCTTTTTCGGGCGAAGGCAAGTGCCTTGTCCCTGGTGACCATTTTGCTTGTCCTTGGAATCTTCCACTTTTTCTTTGTTTTGGAGCGTAAAGCTTGCGTCTTTTGCAGGAATTTCCTCTTTCTCGCGGACCATGCGGAATATTTACCACCTTTTGAGCTAGCAGGCTCGGAAATGTTGATGAATCAAACGACAGATTAAAATACTGCTGCTATTCCACTACCTCTTTCGTGAGTGCACCATTTATGTTCGAAGAATTTCACACCACAGGATCACTCCGGTTGTCCTCGCCAGCATTTAACGCGTCACTTGACTTACATCCTTGCCCCCAGATCCAGGTGCCTCTCCCGGTCGGTCTCTCCACGCAAGGCTCCGCACCATGCTCCACACTCGAGAGCCAGAGAAGAAACTCCCACTCTACTTCGACGATATTTCCAGGTGTAGAACTGATGGACGCGAGCAGAAGATAGCACTGTGCAGCCTCGACGGTACTTTGATCACATCGACTTATCCATTTGCGTACTTCATGCTCTTGGCATTCGAATCAGGTTCTCTAGCCCGGGCATTCATGCTCCTAGCTGCATTCCCAGTTTCCTTACTGCTTAGATTCCTGGTATCTAACGAGGCAGCCATGCAGATGCTGGTTTTTATCACCTTCTCCGGCCTCAAGGCTTCCACTGTAGAGTTCCTGTCCAAGGCCGTGCTCGCGAAGTCCTACTTTCGCGACATGAACCCGCGGACACTCTCGGCACTGGTTTCTTTCGGGAAGAAGTACATGGTCACGGCAGCTCCCAGGATCATGGTGGAGCCATTTCTGAAAGAGTATCTCGGGGTTGAGTCCGTGGTTGGGACCGAGCTCCAAGTTCTAAGCAACGGTTACTGCACTGGACTCATTCAATCCGGAAGCCTGCTGCTCAGCGGGAGAAGGAAGCTGGAAGCTTTGAAAAACTTCTTTGAAACGATCCACGTCTCATGCCCCGACGCTGGATTCGGCAGCAGCGACTCGGATTATCCATTCATGTCTTGGTGCAAGGTGAAAGCTCTTGTCTTTCTCGTGTTCTAACTCTCTTCTCCACAGGAAGCCTACAAAGCCATCCAGAAGAGTGAAGAGATCGTCCTCCCTTCCTCGGCTCAAGAACGCATCAAACCTCTCGTGTTCCACGACGGCCGCCTGGCAGTCCTCCCGACTCCAGCAATGGCTCTCGCCATTTTCCTGTGGACACCTCTCGCCATCGTCCTGGCACTGCTCCGGATCCTCGTCCCGCACACACCATACAGCGTGATGCTCCCCCTGGCGGCGCTCCTCGGCATCAAACTCCGCATCAAAGGCTCATTCCCACCGAAGGATCCCGCAGCTCCAGGGAAGCTCCTCTTCGCCACCTCTCACAGGACACTCCTCGACCCCGTGGTTCTCTCGGGGGTCCTCGGCCGGAAAGTGACGGCCGTCACCTACAGCATCAGCCGGCTCTCGGAGCTCCTCTCCAGCATCAAGACGGTGCGCTTGAGCCGCAACCGAGCCAGCGACAGCCAAACGATGCGTCGCCTCCTCTCTAGCGAAGACGTGGTGGTGTGTCCGGAAGGGACGACTTGCCGGGAGCCATACTTGCTGAGGTTTAGTCCTTTGTTTGCCGAGGTCTCGGACAACATCGTGCCTGTTGGGATGTACGCGGAGATGGGATTGTTCTATGGAACCACTGCTCGTGGCTGGAAATGGATGGATCCATTCTTCTTTTGCATGAACGTCCAGCCATCCTACACTCTGGAGTTTCTCGAGGCTTTGCCAGATGAGAGGACGTGCGGGAGGGGCAAGAGAACGAGTGTGGAGGTGGCCAACTACGTGCAGGAGGAGCTTGCTAGAGCTTCTGGTCTTAAGCCCACTGCCCTTACCAGGAAAGATAAGTATCAGTTTCTAACTTTTGTTCAGTAAATGTATAAAAATTTATTTAAAAACTTCAAATGATTTGCATGAAAGAATATAATAATTGATATAAAATTATTAATATGATAATAAAACAATATATATAGCATAAAAATAATATTAATATACATAAATTTTGTTGAAAAAAGTGTAAATAATTGAGTAAAATATTTCTATTCTACTGTTAGAATATTTTAAGGCATAACAAATATTTGAGGAATTCTATTATTTCATTTTTACAATTTAAAAACCATATTTAAACATTATGATAAAAGAGACTTCTCAATATCTAAGATTTAAGATTAGTTGTAATCCAAATCACTAGGGTTTTATTACTCGTGAGTATACAACCCAAGGAATGAAGGGATAGGAGCACGGAGCAACTTGGATCAGTCTTAGAGCAATTAACATCCCAATGCTAGGACCAACACACAAAATGGAACCAAACGGAGTCTAGTGTTATTTTAGCATACCAGTGGCCTAACACAAGGATATGGGTACTCCACCAGCTAACATAGAATAGAACTTAGGCTTAGACCCAAGCTAGACGCAAAATAAGGACAAACAAGCAAAAGTTAGACTATGCCTCAAGTTTGTCAACTATACCTGATCTACCCACTATCCCTATTATACATTTGGAACCCCCCACAACCCCAAAATATCTGACAACAAAATAATATATTTATAATATATATTGTGACATTGAAGTGTATGAGTACAATGCCATATACTATTATTAACATAGTGGGATTTAAGATTAGTTGTAATCCAAATCACTAGGGTTTTTGGGCTAATTGATATATATATTTCTATATTTTATTTCTATATTTCATATATTCACATTAGTGAAGATGAAGGTAGCTTTAATTGTCCCTAACAAGTGATTGGATTTAGGATTCTGGTTTAGATCTAACTTTTACATTATCTAAATTTTACTTTTTTTGTAACTTTTTCAATTTTTTCTCTTTTATTTTTCTCTCTGTGTTAGTTGATACATACACAAATTTATCTTCTATTGATTGGCTTATTACCACATATTGCCATCTACATTTGTGTTATATGGTAGAGTTAATTTTTATTCATTATGGCAATGGCCATATACAAGGATGTATACAAGATGAAGTGAACTTAATTGTGCATGTGGGGGATCTCAAACTTGAGTTATAGTTATTATAGGTGGTGCCAAATTAAACTTTTGCCCTTATCCTTAGTATGGATTGATTGTAGTACAATTATATCAAATATGACTTTGAACTCTTATTTCATACTTCTTTATATTTCTTCCATTCTTCTCACTTTTATTCCTTTTTTTCCTTTTGCTTTTACCTTTATTTTCATTACCTTTGTCTCCCCCTTACTTCCTTCTATATTTTTGTTTTGTTCCTCTATTCCTTTTTTATATCCTTCTGATGGTCTTTGTGTTGTAGCGGTTGACCGGCTTATGAAGGAGTATACTGATCTCTTTGAATTTGACTTGTAATTTAAGGCCAAGATTGCAACACGTCATTCTATTCCAACTAGGGATGCTCGTTTAATCACAATTCTTATTCTTCGTCAGTTACTAAAATAGATCAAGATTTTATATACAAATATCAAAGAGATGTTGGAAAATAGTGTTATTCAAATTGTTTGGGCTGATAAGTGTTTTTGCATCGACTATTGTTTGTTAAACAAAGTGATGATTCTAGATATGTACCCTTTTTCCTCACACTGCTAATCTTCTAGATCATCTAGGGAGAAGTCATTAATTCATTAAATTAGATTTTGCTTTGGGTATTAATAAGTGCTAATGGTTGAGGAAAATATTCCCAAAATTGCTTTATATATACAATTTGGTTTGTATGAGTTTTTGGTGATGCCGTTCAATTTGAATAATGCTCTAGTGATGTAGCGCACATGGTTTGCACCCTTTATCCTATGGTGTTTTACCATAGGATAACCACGAAGCGGAACCTAAACCCTCCATATCCCACATGTCCAAAGAACAGTGGAGTGGTACTCAAGTTTCAGGATCTTGGGCCATTGAACGAAGGAACGGTGCCAAACTCCCAAGCATGGAGCCAAGGAGCAATAGCACTAGAGCACCGGAACAACTCGTGAGTATACAACCCAAGGAGTGAAGGGATAGGAGCATGGAGCAACTTGGATCAGTCTTAGAGCAATTAACATCCCAATGCTAGGACCAACACACAAAATGGAACCAAATGGAGTCTAGTGTTATTTTAGCATACCAGTGGCCTAACACAAGGATATGGGTACTCTACCAGCTAGCATAGAATGGAACTTGGGCTTAGACCCAAGCCAGACGCAAAATAAGGACAAACAAGCAAAAGTTGGACTATGCCTCAAGTTTGTCAACTATGCCCGATCTACCCACTATCCCTACTATACATTTGGAACCCCCCACAACCCCACAAAATCTGATAACAAAATAATATATTTATAATACATATTGTGACATTGAAGTGTATGGGTACAATGCCATATACTATTATTAACATAGTGGGATTTAAGATTAGTTGTAATCCAAATCACTAGGGTTTTATTACTCGTGAGTATACAACCCAAGGAGTGAAGGGATAGGAGCACGGAGCAACTTGGATCAGTCTTAGAGCAATTAACATCCCAATGCTAGGACCAACACACAAAATGGAACCAAACGAAGTCTAGTGTTATTTTAGCATACCAGTGGCCTAACACAAGGATATGGGTACTCCACCAGCTAGCATAGAATAGAACTTAGGCTTAGACCCAAGCCAGATGCAAAATAAGGACAAACAAGCAAAAGTTAGACTATGCCTCAAGTTTGTCAACTATACCCGATCTACCCACTATCCCTACTATACATTTGGAACCCCCCA